TCATTTCAATTTAATCTCTTAATATAAATTATTTTTCATCTTTTGCACAACTAGTTCTCCTAGGAGACCTGTCCTCAACAGCAGAGGCTGGCCTCACACTTAAGGAGATGTGATGTGAGATCTGAGACACCTTGTCCATTAACACCTTGCAGAGGTGCATTTACTATTGCCGTAGGGGGAAGATAAATGGCATATTTTGAGATCTTGTTTGTTCTTGCACTTAAAACCATTTCCAAAGGGAATTTAAAAGTCAGTACATATGGCACAAATGTAATTCTGGACTGAGCTTGCATATGAATTACAACTAGGAGTCAATACCACCATCTGTCCAAAAAGTCCGTTCTGATCTCCTTGCTCAAAATGCAACAGAATCAGAGAAAGCAGGCAACACCATGAGAGAAACAGAACAAAGCAGCTGGCTCTTCATTGTAATAAGAAATGAAGTTAGAAAGAGGTGCTTGATAATAGGCCTTCAAATCTAAACGCATTATTCCTTGATGGTCTATCACCTAGTCATTTATTGAATTTCTTCACTAACCCTCAGACTATCTTAATACTCTATAATGACTATAAAAGCTGTTGTTATGAAGAGAAATTTTGGCTCAGCCTGAAGCTTTCCATTAGAATGTCTTATTCCACAAATAACCACAATGTGGTCAAGTAGCTGCTGATGCATTAAGGCATCATTATTTATAAAAAATGGCCAACTGTGATTTGTTGAACTAATCATTGTTTTTTGATAACCATTATTTCAGTCTAGGAGTGAACTAAGTAGTACTTGAAAACACCTTGTATATAATAAGATTTAATTTATTGAAAATTTAACAACACAACTAAGAATTTTTAATAAAACAAATATAATTTTTATAGTTACTTTTGCAGAGAAAAAAAATCAGATCAGATTTTCTTCCTTAAATAGACTATTTCTATGTTTGTATCAGTATTTGCTTAGCTTAAATCTGAACATGTATTATGTACAACTTTTATTAGTACATTTTGGTTGACAACAAATATGGACAAGAGTTGAAAGCAGCTTTACAACTATTTTCTTAGTAAAGTAGGACAAACATCTGCATTTCCAAATTAAAATTTTAAGTAGAAAAAAATTTCCTACACCTTCATATTCCATATAATTATTTTTTAGTGTTTTTTGCCAATGTATTGAAAACTCCTAAGAGACTATATTATAACAACACCACTACAAAACAAATAAAACTGCAATTAAAAATTATACTATGTGGCAAGTGCAGCTGCATTAGATTTACTGGAAAGAAGAATAGAACTGAATGGAAAAGCAAAAGAAATGTCCACTTAACCTGAAATTTACAGTTCAGTATCAATCCTGTATATAAATACCTGTAGTGGTTTGAACCAGGTTTTCCCCCTGAAGCTGAAAGTGGTAACCCCCAGGGGGTGGTGACCCTGGGGTTTGACCCAATCAATGCTCCTGCAAAATATAAACATATCTCTGGAGACCGGAAAAGAAGCAGTGATACTTTTTGTGGGAAGAAGAGGTGGCCATGTTGTAGAGGCCACGAGGAGAAGGGGCTCCGGCCCCTTGGGGGCCTCTGCCCCCCCCCCAGCCCCCAGTTGGGGGGCTGCAGGGACTCGGAATGGTGTTAGCTGGGCTGAGTGCCTGTGGCTAAGAGCTGGGGGAGTTTCTCCCCTGTAAATAGAAGTGGGAGACGCTGGGAGCAGCGACGGAGCAGCAGCGGAGACAGCAGCGTCCGAAGAGCAGTGGCAAAGAGCCAACTGATAAGAACCAAGAGAAGCAGCAGATGCTGGTATGCAACTGAAGCAGACAGAGAGCTGTCTGAGGAAACTAAAAGAGCCAGCAGCAGAAAGCAGGACAAGAGACCCGAGCCAGCAGCAGGAAGAGAGTTTCGGAGGGTAAGAACTGGACAAACCAAAACCCCCAAACTCGCTAGAGACCCCTCTGAGAAAGAGGAGGGGGTGGTGGACTGAGTGGAGTCCTAAAGTGCAGTATGCACTACAGAGAGGAGCTAAGAAGCTCCGGCCTCCTGAGAGCTCAGCCAGGATGGCCAAAGGAATGTGTGTGGAGGGGGTGACCTTGGGCTTTCCCCCCCCTTTTTGCTGCAGCTTCAGAGAAGCTGGCAGCCATCTTTGAAGCAGAGCACAGAAGCTCTGTGAAGGGGCTTGATTTCCCCTGAAGATACCAGACTGTCACGAAGACCCCCGTGTTTCGTGATATGACCGTGGTGGAACGACCTTGTCTGGGGTTACGTAGTCCACGGAAAGACCCTTCGTTTGGCGTCGAGGGGCCGAGAGGGGCTTGGAGAACCCCCTCGTGTGTATTGGCAAGGATCCAGCTGCAACTGCTGCCTGAAAGAGAAGAAGAAAGCCTACTGCCTAGAGAGAGACCTGTTGCTCAGAGACTGGAAGGGGTCTTTTCTTCTTCTTCTCTCCTGGACTTTTATTTGGAGAGAGAAGAGATTTGGCCCACTGTAAATATTATTGTCATGGTAGAGATAGATATAGAGTTAAGATTGTTTGTAATATATTATAGTATTTATTTATGTGTATAGTCTTTGTAATATATTCCTTCCCCCATATTGAGTCTCGTGTTTTTGTCTGGAAAACCCATCTCACATGGGGTTGAGATGTGGGTGGGGGGCTAGGAATCAGAATTGGATTTTGGGCCTTGCTAAAACCATGACAATACCCCTTTCAAATCAAGTTATCTATTCAGGAAGCAAGGGAGAATATTTGGTCTTTTTCTTTTATGTTTACATTAGACAGCTCAAAGGATCAGCTATTTATTAAAAAAAGGTCACCTTAAGGCCTTAAATTAGGGAATAGGAACATAGTAAGCAAACTTAAAAAATTGAAAAATCTAAAGATTAAAAAGAACTGGAAAAGTGTTTGGGCATGAGGATTCTAAAGAATCTCTGAGCTTTTATATTGACTGGGCTCCTGAGCCTTAGGTTAGCCAAGGAAAGTTAAAAATACCCTTGCAGAGAAAGCCAACCACTTAAATAAAAATCAGATGCTTGAAGACTTCCTGGTCACCCCTGCAAATCTTCTACAGTTGATGCTATTCTGAGTTCAGAATTCTCAAAGGATTTGTGAAAAGCTAATATGTTCTGTCACTGTAAAGAACACACTGAATTGTGAGGATCTGTGGCCTGACTTGACAATAGAAGGAGCAGACCTAGTATGACAATTAATGTGCTGATTCAGTGCTTGTTAGGGAAGGAAAAGTTTTGCCCTAGCAAAAAGACACTGGAAAATGTGACTGAATTCTCCATCTCCTTAAAAAATCTCACTGAAAGCAGAAAAATCTCACATGCTGCAAAGACACAAAAGTCAAATTCTACAAAATATGAAGAGATACAGAGGGCCTCCGAGGCTCTTAGACTGCAGTATATCTTACATATGTCAAACTCCTCTCTAGGAAAGGAATTACATGTCTGAATGTAAAGCATGCAGTTATAAATGCCTATCTTCCTTTCTTTTGGGAAGTAAACAGCTACTGTACACGTACTTTCAGAAGGATGTACAGCAAAACTGCAGATACTCTGAGAAGGTAACATATATAAGAGAAATATAGTGTGTTTTCTTGTAGATTAATCCAGGAGCAAGGTAAAATTGTCTCTGTTCTGCCAATGAGCAACTGTGTGAATATGGACTATGTTGTATCCATTCCACTCTTTCCTACTGTCCCTAGAGGTATTATTAGCTCTTAAGAATAAAGAATAGCAATAGTCATTATAAGTCTGGAATAATGTTTTTATTCATAGACCTCAGTGTGCTTTACAAAAGGAGGTGGAATTCACTATTTGTGATACAAAGTGAGATGAAATGGATTCAGAAAAAGTTGTACTTAACACTAACCAAGTCTCCTGATTTCAATTCAAATGTGTTATTCATCATGGATGCAATGATGTATTTGAACAGGATTCTTACTCTTGATGAGGCTTCTAGAGGTAAATGGATATAATCAAGATTAGAACACGAAAACATATCCATTAAGCAGTTAAAAACTCAAACTGGCAGCAGTTTATCACCCTATATTGTGCTCAAAACTTGATGGGTAAACATCCAAAGACATTAGGACAGTGCCTGAAAATAAGAATCTGGGTCTTTGCTAGTTGACCAGTTGTTTTCCCATCATGTATAAATGATTTACATTATGGGATCTGCAGAGCGCTCTGCAGAGTAAAAGCATGTGATATTCTATTACAAAGCTAATGATTAATTAGCTGTCTGAAACCTGACTGATTAACAAAATATGCTCATATATTTAGAATTAGTCCACTATAAAAATCATGTAGAATTTCAGTCAAGAAGATGACATTGTTATTACAAAACCCTTCTGCTTTAAATCCTGTTGAGACCATGGAAGATACTCTTACTGTCAAGCATTTTTAAGTTGCTGGTTAAACATTATACTAATTTTGTGTGTGCATAGCACACATACTCCAGAAATGTATTTTTAAAATTATTTTGAATTTTATTTCTTGACTAGATTAGAGATGTGATACAAAATTGTGGAATGAATTTTTCTGTATTCTAAGCTAAAATTTATTTCTAAATTGCAAACTAAATCTTAGAATACAAAATCTCAATTCATGTTATTATGTCCTTTTTTATACCCGTTCGGTGTTTATGGGTTTTGTGTATGTGTGTGTTTCCCCACAAAGTATCATAGGTCATCTTGGTCATTCTCTTAGTTGTAAAGATATGTCTGTATTTATTTTGCCTGTGCCTGTTTTTCAGTCCAAAAAGATATGCAGTTAGTCTGTTCTAAAAGACTTCTACACTGAACTCCCTTAAAAATTAAGTTAGTAATAGTTTAGATTTTAAGCTCTATACATACCTGTATATCTCCACTGAACTTCAAAACAAAACAAAAAAACCCAACCAACCAACCAACCAACCAAAAAAAACTCCACCAGAAATATCAAAATAAAAAAAATACTCTAAAGATTTTTAGCAATTTTTTATAGACTCAGCTGATTTAAATTGTAGAGCATTACCTTATCTGATGTGTTTGAGGTCCAGTAGTCACTAAAATCTGACCCTCTTGGAAAGAGCCCAGAGCATATCTAATCTTCAGATATATCTCTAGAGTTGGAAAGGATTTCAACTCCTCAGATATTATCCTGGTTGGAGGATTAAAATTTAATCAGGATGATAAAGAAATGAGACATACTGTGTACCTGATTTAGATCCACAAAAGGAAACCTGCATTGAAGGATCAGACCTTGCTCATTATGTTTGACTACAGCCCCTGTTACTAAAAAAACTTTGAAACAAAAGTGAATTACTGAATAAATAAGTTAACAGAAATTCAACCCATATGAAATGCTTAATTGTGAACAGCTGGCATTTTTTATCACCCATTCCATCCTGCTATCTCTTATTTATGAAATAAAATGATGAATTATTATGCTTCTCACTATATTTTCATACATGAATCTGTTGTGAGCTGACTTCTGAAATGAGTACACTTCAAATGAAAATTATTTCTCTCTGTTTTAAAATTCTGTCAATAATAGTGATGTCAAAGATGTCTTACAGAAAAATAAATATAAAAATTAAAAATTAATTCTCAATTTATACCATAGTAATATTTTCTCCATAAATTAGGAAGAAGAGATAATGAATGGCAATGAAATTTTTTAATTCTGTGATCCAGCAACTCTTACTGAACATATTGATTAGAACTCTAGAAAACTACTAAAGGAAGTAAGAAAGAAAGTAAATAATTGCGTGCCTCCTCAGATCTTTGGAAAGGCCCATCAAGAACTTAAAGCTTGAGAAATTAAGACTAGTTACTGCATAGATGAATCCTAGAGACCTCTGTTTTTCTATAGAAGTGGTTTTTACCATTCAAAAACAAAAATACTATTCTGTCAGATTTTGGCAGAAAATTATCATTCCCACCTGGAGGGTGGGCAACCAAATGTAAGAAGGTCATTCCTACAACCAACTTTTTCTCCCATCCCAAGCAGCAGGTTTCAGAGGCTGAGAAGATCATCTTTGCACAGCTATGCCATAACTGGGAGATGGGAGGGACAAAGTCTCAGGGAAAGGATTGAACTAAGGAAAGATAAGAAAGACAATCTGATGATTAATGATCAGTGGGAAACCAAAGAAAATGGAAAGCAAAACTTCATAGTAGGACTCTCCACAGCAGAGCTAAATGAACCCGTATCCTTGTGGCCCAGTAACTCTGCTGTTACTTGCAACAAACAATGTTTTATGACATGCTTCCGGACCCATCTGGGCTGGGCTTGGTTTGCCAGAAGGCTTGTTATATCCCATAACAGCACTTTTCTAATAATGAGTTATCTAATATTTATCTGAGTAAATAAAAGCACTGTACCCTTTGATTTGGCACCTTGATATGACAAATTTTAAAAGTAGACATAAATTCCACAGCAATATCCCACTACTAAAATATTAATATCTCCATATTTTCTGTGCTATTTCCCCTGAAGCCCTGCAACCTCCACCAGCAGGCATGCCCTTGCTTTGCTGGAGGCATAGTGTTGTTAAGACACAAGAAAGTACCAACGAAAGAATTGCATAAATTTTTTAAGCATTTTTAGCAGCACATCTCCTTGAGCCTCTTAGGCACAGGAGAGAATATTTTGGTTTTGTCCATAGCAAGTAGAAATATATTCATATGAATTCTAACCACTTTTTGATACATAGATTGAAATAAAATATAAAAAATGCCATTTCTAGTTAGCTTAACATGTTCAATGATCATATAGTTCAATTAAGAATATTCTCAGCACCCTGTGAAATAAACCAGAAATGTCAAGAGCAAGTGTCAACGGCTTAGTAGTTGAGTGCCTTTCTCAAGATCATTGCAGCCAGTGACAAACAATCTTCTGGATCATTGAGACCATAATTTTTCTCAATTACTCCTATCATTGGTTGGAAGAATTCTGACATAATGTTCCTAATGACTTCACATTTCCATTTTTTTATCAAAGAAATCAAGGGTTCTGGGTTCAGATTTATTAAGATTTAAAACACTGCAATTCTTGATCGAAGGTAATATCTTTTTTTTCTTTCTCTTTTTTATTTTCAAACTGATGTGAAAACATAAAATATTACATTGCAGTGCATGATCAAAAATTAAATGCTAGACCTTGTTTCAGGTATAGCAGTACTAAGTAAAGCAGAATCTACACACCCTTAAAATGCTGATCATTAAACCTTAAAGCCTGCCTTATACACAATAATGAATTTATTGGACTCTATAATGAAAATGATGAAAAAATCCACTCTCAGTCATCACTGTCATTATTTGAATTAATTAGTACCAATACTTAATTTTGGTCTAATTTACCTTATGTCATTGTAAGTCCTTACAAGATTAATGTTTTGAGGAACTTTTTTTGTATAAGTCACTGAGAGGTAATTTTGCATCCATTATAATCAACAACTAAATCAGATGCAAGATATAACAATCAGTTAGCAACCAAGCAAGATGTAACAAGCAAGTTTCTATTTTACTCAGCAGGATTTTCTGTTTGTTTTTTTCTGATGTGGTCTGCATCTATTCAGAAACTTTTTATTGATTCTTGCATCATTATTCTGAGTTCATAAATGACAGTAAATCTAACATAACGATTGTGTCAGAATATCTTATTGCAGCTACAATGAAGTATTAATTCATATGAAATTCTTTTCCTCTGGTTTCCAATAATATTTTTAATTTCATTTATTTTTCATTTATTTCTAGTACAGCTGGGTGTAGTAGAGAAATAATTAGCAGTGCTATATGTTGGATTGTTCACTCAAGACCAAAAGAATTTCATAAGCTGAAACATCTGTTACTTTTCAGTGCATTCATTAAAATATTTCAATTAGTTAAGTTAGTTTGGATAGTTCAGCTGTAGGTATGAGTAGTCATTTCTTTCTCCACCTCTAGACTCTGCAAAACCACTTGTTCCAGACCATACTTTTATCCACAGCTCATCCTAGGCAAATGTAGGAATTTCTATTTCTATGAGTATTCATAAGTTCTTAACCTCCACTCATTATTGACATAAGATGTGTTTTTGCAGAATTCTCTCAAGTTTAGAATCTCTGTTTTTGTCAAAGAACTGGGATTATGTGGAATAATAATTCTGCAATTACCTAAATTGTTATGTTATTGTTGTGAGCACTGTTATGCTCATTTTCATACTTACCACCAATTATACGCTCTAAGAAGAAAAAAGATATTCTGAGAAATTCTATTTAATTTGCTGTATTTTATGTCACGAAATAATTTTGTCTTCCTCTGAGAAAGCTTTGTAAACTGTGCATTTCCTTACCTATTCATATGTATATTAATTTTTCTAACTGTTCATATTTATTCATTTAACCAAATCATTGCAGCACCCTATTAACAGCATCTAATCATTGTTAATGATAATAAGGAAACTAATATTTCCCTCTTTTATTTGTTAAATATTTTTTTTTGTTAAACATTTATTAAATACATTTCTTAGAATATTTATTTACCAGGGTACTGCATAGGAAAACCACATAAATTAAAAATTATTCCTATAATGTTTTAAAATATTTTAGAACACCAGAAATCCTATAGAAAGGTGAAGACAACTGACTCCTCCTGAAAATCAAATGAAAGCCAAAGATCATTGAATCTCTGTTAGATTTTAATCAACTAATTTTGAAATATTTACTATAATTGTACAGAACAAATGAAATGAAGCTAATCCAAGAAACAGACAGATCACCCAAGATAATCCATAAACTAAAATAACCCATAGAAAATAGAAATTTTTTTAATATTTTTATCATGCAAAAAGGAAAAAAATACAGAACTGTTGAGGACAGTTAGTTGGGTTCATGTCTCTAAATACAAAATTTATAACATATTGATTAATTCATAGAATCATAGAATCAGCTGGGTTGGAAGGGACCTCCGAGATCATCAAGTCCAACCCTTGATCCACTACCACTGCAGTTACTAGACCACGGCCCTAAGTGCCACATCCAGTCTCTTTTTAAAAATCTCCAGGGATGGAGAATCCACCACTTCCCTGGGCAGCCCATTCCAATGTCTGATCACCCTCTCTGTAAAGAAATTCTTTCTAATATCTAACCTAAACCTCCCTTGGCACAACTTGAGACCATGCCCTCTTGTCTTGCTGACAGCTGTCTGGGAAAAGAGAACAACCCCCACCTGGCTACAACCTCCTTTCAGGTAGTTGTAGAGAGTGATGAGGTCTCCCCTGAGCCTCCTCTTCTCCAGGCTGAGAACTTAATGCTGTACTTAGAAAAAGTCCTTTGTTATTTGGTGTCCATCAGAAAAGGACTGAATAACAACAGCAACAATAATAAAGCTCAACTTTAAAATCTGTGTAGATGACAAAACATAAAATTATAGAAATCATAAAACTATATAAATTTATTCACTTGTGTTTTAAGCTATTATTAGTGCAGTGTTTGATATTTAGATTGTGCTATTCATATATATGTTCTAATACAACACTTGTATTTTCTTGATTTTTTCTTCTGTCAAATTCAGGTTTACTTGTACGTTGGGGTTTTTTTATGACACAGTAGTTTGAGGGAGAGGTCTGGGATCTTTTCTGCCTTATCAACCGTAAGAACAGTTAATGGTGTCAGCCTTAAAAAAGGATGTGGTCATTACTTGAACAGGTGGAAGGTCACTGTTCTTAAACCTACCATTCTTCTTGTATTAGTTTTGCCTTGAGCACATTCTTCATCTCCCACAGTAGCAACACAGGGTTATATTTGATTCTGTCATTAACCACTCAACTTCACGGAGAAGTAAGCTGCTTACATTTCTTGTCTTTTAGGATCAGCAATTATTCTCTGTGTTTCTCTGGACACTTTGCATTCTCACAACAAAATTAATCTTACCTTCTTCATTTCTTGTATTCCCATTAGTAAGATGTCCATAATATGCAAATTCTTGTAATTTCAGCATTATGCCACCATCACACTTTTACTCCGACATTTATTAAAACTACCAGTTTACAAACAAACAGAAATTATCAATCTGTGTTGCAGGCAGAGAAAAATC